TCATCCTTACCTATTCCAGTTCCTTGTTCTCCCAACACCACTGCTTCCATGGCATGCTTCACGCATCATTTGGTTGCTGGTACAGTCAGGAATTGGGATCTGCCCAGCAACTATGGACACAGCCCTCCAGAATCAGTTTAGCCTAGACTGCAGGAAAGACCAAACACCTGCTTTCTTCTGAGGCATCTGCTTGCCTAGTCTCTGACCGATATTTTTGATAGCATTTGTTAGATCTCATGCAGACTCCTTCTAAACATGGATCTAGTGTTCATTTGAAAGACTAGCAGACCTATTATTTTAATATAGAAGTTTAACACTCTCTTGAAATGATGCTGGTCCTGTGCTGTACAGAAGGTGCATTATAGATTTTCCACAGCTTCTGCAAAAAGAGGCTTCCTCTGGCCATATTTTATAGGTTTGACTTCTATTACTTATGAGGGCTTGCAGGTTCATGGCTATTGGGCTTCACCTAATAGGCAGAACTGTAACCAGTTAGGTAAGTTCACAAATCCAAGAAATCTTGAAAACTAATTCCTTATGAAGGAAAGTTTAGAATGACATAATCAAAACGTTCTAATGACTTTATGTTTCAGGAACAAGCCTATATAGAGAAACAACAAGCCTATATAGACATTTAAGACATTGTCTTCAAGCCTATATAGAGAAACAACATTCACCTTTTGGCACCTCTTTTTTGTTCCCAACAAAAAAGACTGCCCAACTCAATTTTTAGATTTGCTATCACATTTTTTTTTCACTGTGTGAAAACTAACTCTCACAATTTCCTTGGTCCTAGTCGACGCTCATGTAACAAGTATCATACAGCTACAGTTCCTGTGGCTGTTTCTGCAAATGCACCACAGTTACTTATGTTGCCCTTAGTAGTGGTCAGTGCCATTTTGCCTACTCCATTCTAGATTTGGTAGCACTAGGTGCCATAGTGATGACTCCTAAAGTACATGCAGGCCAGTCACAATTGTGTGTCAGAGACCATCTACTAGCTACATCTGGGAGTTGCCAGCCATAAGGTGAAAACTAGATTCCTTGGTCACTTGCTGTCAGCACTTGCTGTCAGCACTGCCATTCCCTTCCAGCACTAGTCAAGGACAGAAATCAATTATCAGTCACTCCCTTCTGCTTCACACAGCAGCCTTGGTGCCTAAACATAGGTTTAAAGCTCTTTTGTTTGAGACATGAACTACCCAAACCCCATAGATACTGAATAAGGTAGAAGTCCCCCAAAGAAGCAAAAACAGAAAGGAACGGATCAAGGAACAAAACAAGCAAACATACAAGAACAAACAAAACCCCCATTGGGGTTGGTTTTATCTTTTATAAGTAACATATTTAATTGGCAGCTGTAATTCTGCTGGCCAGTGGGCATCAGAACGTTAAGTAGAAGGAGAATTAGGCAGCAGGACAATTGTCAGGATATTAAATATTAAATATTTTATTGTCCTAAATTCCTAGCAAGGAAGCGACAACCTTCCTAGAGTCTTATATATTAGCAAAGAGATGCCCACTGAGGCAATTGAACAGCAGCACCAGCAAATCAGAGGAGATTTTAACTGAACCAGCCCTTAGCCTTTTTTTCAGGATAGAAGGTGGCACAGGGTTGCATCCTATTATCAAGAAAATGAACTCACATCTCTAGCTGTGATGGGATCAGACCTCATCCTATCCGATTTCCTGAACTGGCCT